TTATATCGTCCCAACCGGGAAGCATCCGCAAAGGGGCTCAACATCATGATACACATCACGCATAGACACACGTATAGCAAAACAACTTGCATCCGAAAGAAGAAGAGATGGCCTTTTCTGCGCTTGCCCTTGCGATCCATTTTGATTTTTGAGGATGCCTTCATAGCTGCTGCCAAGAGCCCTGCTGTCCTCTTGATGTGATGAGCCATACTCGAGGAAACGTCCTTGGGTCGAAAGGTCTTTTTGACGCCCCGATTTGCTCGTAGAACACGCGAACTGTCGAACGCGTCAAAAGCAAGATCCTAGTTCGAGAATGGCGAATCGTCAGTTTTGCAAGATCGGATTGACAGCGAATGGAACTTGTATATGCAGACTTGGATGTTGCTCACATACCTGTTCCACCTCCTTTGTTGTTGACCAATCTTCGATGTTAACGCCTTGCACCCTTCCTTCCAGGCCACGGCCGACTGCCGATGGAACGTTTTCGCGCCAAATTCTATTTTGCTGCGCGTGGAAGGTAAACTCACCGTAAATCTCAATAAAAGTGGGTTGCGGCAGACCTCGAAAAACTCTATCCTTCCCGCCAATTTCGCATACTCGAGTATGCCGCTGCTGTAAGAAGTAGAAACAAATGGATGGCATCCCAAATCAGCAAGGCTCATAGAGAGTGTAGGAATAGGTATGAGGAAAAAAAAATCAAAAAATGAGGTCCTACCGAGATTCGAACTCGGGTCGCAGCATTCAAAGTGCTGAGTGCTAACCGCTACACCATAGAACCTTGATGGATTTCGGATTGCCTTGCACCAATATTAACATATAATAGTTGACCATATCCGATGTCTGAGGGTATGCGGGGTTATGGGGGTTATGTTATGTCAAGTGAAGCGAGGAATTTCACTGTAAAACGACCTGAACGGTTCTTCATGGAGTTATGTGTTGAACCGCATTAGCACTATATTTGATACTGCTCGCTGGAGGCCCCCTTGATGTTCTCATTTTGAGTGACACCGGTAGACGATCACTGATGAAAAAATACGGCCCGGCAGGATTTCTTGATTTCCTACCTTTATTGCAATTCAGCAAAGTGGAAAACGACGCGAAAGGATGAACCAGTCGGAAAACAGGTACGGTTTATGGTTGGCAGTTTAACAAAAGGGTATGTCAGTTGGGGTAGACTTGTGGAAAAGCAATTGAGTTCCAATGTCTCAAGCATGCATATGTAAAGTTTTTGGTATATGCAATGAGAAAGCCTACTTCATCGCTCAACATAAGAGCATGACAGGAGTTTTTGCTCATTTCTTTCAAATATGGGACGATATGATCAGAAAGAAAGTGGCAGGACAAAAACATCCAAGGGTTACTGCGCACTATAACAGATGCAACGTATGCCTGGATGTAGAAATCGATAAAGATGTGTCGAGAGTGAGGAGGGGCTATCACTATTAATTATGAATACAGAAGTGCCCATGAGGTCAGACCCCGATAGTCGATTGCACGCATTTAGCATTCTCACCCAGCTCGCCACCAAACATGGCTAGCGCATGGGCTGCGCTTGAATTGACGATTTTTCCCACGCCAACCATCCACAAAAACCATACCGGGAATAATATGATATGCTCAATCACACAATACAATACTTGACCGACCGCGTGGGATAGTTTGTATATGTATGCATACCGTTCGCACCCATGGGATATGTAGATTCACTATAAAAGTGTACCGGACCTCATGAGTTTTGTACATCCCACATAACCCACACCGCACACTGGACACCCCAGTGATGTACATTGACCATCAAACATGTATATTACCAACGAACGGACCACTATGAGCGACATTGCAACCCCTTCATATAGCTCAATACCATGACAAATAAGACTTGTCAAGCGCGCCTTTCACCAAGTGTCTTCAAATTCAATACTGGGTACGGACGTCCCTTGTCAGTGTGGAGAGTTTTGGGGCGTCGCATACGTACATACGCTTTACCCTCTACTGATGTACGTAGTGGTGACCTCACGAACAAACTGGCTCTCAAATCAAGACTTGGACTCTGGGTTGTCAGTACTGGTCGACTGGTCCGCCGCCTGAGCTGCATCCACCTTCAGCACTTTCTCTTTCCCTATCAGCTCATTTCGTTCATCCTCTGTGGTTGTTCCCCGAAACCAGGAGTCCTTGAGCTCATCGAATGCGTCTTTAAGATTTCCCGAGGCTCCAGCTGCTTCGCACAGTGAATTCCATCGCGTGCGGAACAACATGTCCGTTCGAAACTCGGGATTGTTTAACGCGGCGAGCGCGGTATCCAGGCAATTTGAACATTCTTGTCTTCGGATTTCCGTATTTCTGCCCAGTCCTTTGACGAAATAGGTTGGTTCTTTTTCTTTTTGAGCTTTGGTGGAGTCGCTTCCTGCCGCGCCTGTTGCACGCCCCGCTTCTGAATCTTCTCGTAATTAGTAGTTGAGCTTGGGCCTGACGAAATTTTTTTACGCGCAAAGCGGAAGTTTGTCTCGGCCAGGTCAGACTCCTTGATAACCAATTTCTTGCCTCGATTTTGAACCTCTTCTTGGGTGATTTTGGTATGTACGTGCATGAAGCAAAATTGGTGCGTGTCTGCCTTCTCCTTCAAGCAAGGTAGTGGCTGTCCATACTTATCAATTAGCACTGCTTTTGACAGAAGCGTGAATGGCAGACAAAACTCGAGCGAGTCTTCGTAGGGAACGGATGTATACCAGAAGACACACGACGGATTGAACGCCTTTGGTAGTAGTTCGTAGTACCGACACCAGGCTGCGGCCTGCAGCACGTTGTTGAAGCAAACGCGAGCCTGATGGAGGGCCAGCTCTTCCTTAGTGGGAGGAACGGTTTCAACGCATCTGGCCCAGCGAGACAATGTGCGTTGTAATTCTTGAGCAGATCCGCAATTTTTCCCTCCGCATCTTTTACTCTGTCGTCGATACTTGCGAACAAAGCTGAGTTGGGTTTTTGGTAATACCGTTCAGCTGGTTGATTTCCGTGGCCAGATCTTGTCCGACTGTAGAGTATCCGGTTTGACACAAACGTACGTTGCGTCGTCGTAGGATTGATATATGGTGCCCAGCAATTCCAAGCGGTTTAGGTTTTTGAAAAATGCGGGTGCACCACTGTATCCTGATTGCAATCCAACATCGACGCGGGCGACCCTGTGCGTTGATCCGCTCACAGAATCCCAGAAAATTTTAAAAGGTTTCCATTTGAGGTCTTTTGGTCCGGGCTGAGCCCGCTGAGCGGCAATGGTGCGCAGCACCGGCAGGTACGCAACCTTATATGTCCGACAAATCTCCCATGAAGTTGAGTAAGTAGCGTTCAGCAACTGAATTGAGGGTTGTGATGACCTCGTCAGCCGATGCCCATGACCTAGCGTTAAGGCTCTTTGCACCGGCGTAAGGCGGCACTGGATTACCGACTTGGATCAAAACTAGATCTGGACAAGGCTCTTCTGCACCTTCCCAAACCGTGGGAATCTTGTGACCGTACGCATGTCGCCCTTCATGCCAAGGAAACACCAGCAGCTCGTCCGGAGTAATCTCATTCGGGGTTGGATCGTCCTGGGTCTTGTCCTGGGTCTTCAGGAACGTGAACTCTGCGTTTTCAATATGCCCTTGCGAGTGCAGCAGATGTGAGGCCGACAGTGTCCAACCGCAGCCAAGGTGATACCCGAGACCGCCAACGGGTTCACCGTTCTCACGTACGGTCGAGATGGAGCAGGTGACCGATCGCGCCCAACGCTGGTCTTCGTCGGTCGGTTCGGGTAATGGAAGGCTCATCTTGCGTCAAATTGGCTGACCTGGCAGTCAAGACAGGGAAAGTCACATCCTGCATAATTCGGAGAACTATATAAATGAGGATTAAACTCCTCCGTCGCCCAAAATAGATGCAGGAAAAGACAGAGGAAAAGAGGGATTTCCGGGATTTGAGGGGCCGAAAGGGGGATTTTCTTTGTTAGCATTCATACCCACCAACATAGGTCACTGATTGATTTTCCCCACGGCCCCCACTCGCAAGTGGCATCTCGTACCGCAAGCAAGATGAACATTCATTCTAAATGAAAACAGAACATCTCACAAAATGGGAGTTGTCACGGTTTCGTTGTAGATCACCATTGTGGTTTCGACAACCGAATGGCCTGTTTGGCTCCCACTGCCTGCCAGGCAAGACAACTCCTTAACCCACATCCAGGCAACAGCTATCCCAGTACAGGAAAAGAAACACTCAAAATAGACTCGTCGGGGGTCTGGTTGGGGTTTGTCAAAGTTATAGGTGGTGGCATGCCGCAACGCCCCGTTGGGGCAAATTTATCGGACTGCACTTTTTAGATCTGCAAGACACACATTCAAGATCCGCTTGATCCAGCGGGATTCCACAGCGCCCGATACGTCGGCGGAGGTCTGCTCGAAGGTTTGCAAAAATATACGGACGACCCCACTTCGTATCATTTCAGAATATAAATCACCCCAAAACAGATTTTCGACATCTACTTGGGCCTTCCAACTCTTTGCGAGGAGATGGCGGTGTAGACCAGGTCCAGGATTCGGTCACCTCAAACGACCTGAGCCTGCCAGGAGACAAAATGCGATGAGGTGTGCCATAAGCAATATACCCTTTACGGTAAAGTCGAAAATATCGTGTTGGATTTTGCCAGTCTTACTTAGTAGGAGAAGACTTGGGCAAGAAGGTACTGAGAAAAACGCATGTATTAAGAAGAGGGGGCGGGGGGATGTCTGCACTTATAAACTCCCCCAAAATCACCCATACAAATGTATAGTACATAAAGAAAAGAACATGTGTTGCAGCGTCCAAAGCTGTGCAAAGGCATACACATGGAATATGGGTAGCGGAAAGAAAGATAGAGGGACTAAACTGATTTGTTCAACGAACGAGACGCCAAACAGTTCGGGGATCTGATGTCGGTGGAGCTCAATCTGGGAACGAGAGAACAAGTCCTATGTGTGTTTCCAACATATCGAGGTCCTATGGCCAAATGGATAAGGTGCCTGACTACGAATCAGGAGATTCCAGGTTCGACCCCTGGTAGGATCGTTTTTTTTTCCCCCCCCCAAAAAAAACAAAAAACAAGGATCCCACCATAGAAACATATCCTGTTGTAATGTTGTTTATGGAGATCACTGTTTGACAGCCAACTTATGTGTGCGTATGCTTTGGTTCTCGATCTCGTTGTCTATTCAGTTATCGAGTAAGTTCTTCAACACTCCACCAGGTCTTGTGACAGATTTTTGGCGAGTGACAGACTGCGCTGTCACTCCCAGTGACACCGCGCCACGCGCTCAGCACCGAAAAAACCTCGATTTCAACTAGAGCGGTGGGCTCAACTCTGAAAAAACCTCGGGTTTTTCTGGGTTGAGTCTTGTCACTGAGGTTTTTGCAGGGTTGAGCGCTGCTATATCCAGACTCGCGGATCGGCCTCAACTCCGAAATCGCGTTCAACATTTCCAGATCAGAATTCAGACCATGGCCAGAAGAACATCTTGACATTCCGCACACATACGCATTATACACTCATCGACTCCGGGAACTGAATGACTGAAACAACACTCTGACACAATTGAAAAAAAAGTAGAACAAAAGAAACAAGGGGAAAAGAAACAACAAAGAAAAGAGAAACAAAAGAGAAACAAAACTGATAGATGAAAAGGTAAACTGATGGGGAAGGGAATGAGAACGAGAACAGAGAAAGAGAGAAAAGACTAGAGATGAACTGCCTAAAAGCTGAGCTAGGAAAAGCTAATCAAACAAAAACTAACAACTGAAAAATGGGAAACCGCACGAGAAGTTCAAAGATGGACAAAGGCAGGGCAAGATGCTGATGAGACAAGCTACGACTAAAAGAGTTGCAGATTAGGTCCCACACTAATGCAATATAGTCAAGGGCAACACACCATCATTCCGCAGAAGCTGCTCCTTTCAGAGTAATGTCTTGATAGTGAGCCAGGGAAATAGCAGGCTTTCGCCGTTCTGTTCCATCGAACGCTCTTTCATGGTCCATCATTACTGCAATCTCGAGCTCGGTTAAGTTGCTGATGGTAGCCCTAGCCTTGATGGCCTTCCACAACTGATTCCTGCGCGAATACCATTGACGCTGCGAGCTTCTCCACACGGATCCATAAGTCGTGTCCATGTAACGGATGGACCTACCACCATTCGACCTCTCAAACCCTTCTGCATACTCAAGCCACGCGTCTTTCACTGTTCGGAGGCTGCGGTCCATCACATACGGGGGGATGGGACGATTTGCTGACGCCGCTGATGCTGATGCTGATGCTGTTGTTGAGGGTGCACTATTGTGGGCAGCTGTGGCATGGGAGTTGGATGCGCCTATTTCATTGAATTAGTTTCGGCAAATCTGTGACTCTGCAGCGCCATGTCGAATGGAGAGGGCAAATGCTGATATAGTATACCTGCTACCGGACCAGTCAAATGAGAAATGACACGTTGTCCCTCTGGTGTGCGTGCCGCTGCCATGAAGGATCCAACAAATGAAGTAACGCGAGAACTTTCGGCAGTGGTGGTTTCCATTCTTGCCTAGGGTAAACTAGTCAAACTTGTGATTTCAAGTGAAACAACAACAGGCATAACCAGACCTGACTGATCTGCATCTGCATGAGATCGCGAATGAGGGCATTATGGCTGTGATAGTGCATAACCAAATCCCATAGTATATACTATGGGATTTGGTTATGCACTATCACAGGGGAGATTCCAACTATGGGCCAACTATGGGCCACATTACACCGGACTTTACACCGGGCTTTACACCGTGTAATACGCTGTGTACGGGACTTCCAGAAAATTCACAAATTTCTTCTGTCAAAATTTCACACCTTACAAGTCGGCGAAGAATATTCTTCGCCCCATTTACAAGTCTTCACCGGTGTAATACGCTCATTACACCGTGTAATACGCTCATTTACGGGACTTTCAATTTGTTACAACGATTTATTACAACGATTTATTACAACGATTTATTAAAAGCCTTTACTCCAATCTTGTCCTTTTTGGCAGTGATTCTTGGGCTTCCTCCAATTCCTCTACTGAAACATTTCTCATCCATACAACTGACGGCTTCATATGGGCGTCTCGTATATCCATTGGTAAAGACCGCACATCCACTCGGTTCATTTTTCGAATGTTGAAGAATAATGTCTTCATTTTATTCCCATCCTTTATTGACACCTTGGTTATTTCGAAATTCTTCATCTCTTCCTTGATAAAATCCAGAGCCGCTGTATGCTTCTTCACGATTCTATCCGCTGCTTTGAATTCCTCCGATATGTCCAAATTGATAAAGTCCAGTACTCGTTGTTCCAATCGCTCCATCTTTCTCGAGTGGTGATGATTCTGATTCGGATAATTCGGATAATGGAGCGGCCTCCCTACGGGACTTTCAATCCTTTATAACATTCTCTGTTATCGATATCCATTCTGAATTCATTTCTGGATAAGACATATCGATATCGATGTCATCCCAAAAAAAAGGTGACACTTTTCGTGACACTTTTTTTTACTCCACGTCTCGAGTCAGAGACACTTCCTATTATCTATTTCCCTCCACTTTACATGTAGGTGACAGTTGTGACAGTTTTTTCGAGGTAAAGTCCCTGGGGATATAGTTTTTAGACTAGTGAGAAGAAGAATATCCATTATTCTTTCTCTCACTCAAAATAAAATTTTATAAGAATCATAAACATACAAAAAAACTGTCACAACTGTCACCTTTTTTTTTACTCCATAGAAACACACCACTAATCTATTATAAACTTTCACTTTCCCTACATGTATCGAGTGTGTCAGGTACAAAAAAAAACTGTCACAAAAACTGTCACCTTTTCCACAAAACTGTCACCCCTCTTCATCAATCCCCGATTCAATCACTTCTTCAATAATATACCTACAAAGTATCGAGCCGAATTTGTTCGTTTCTCCGGCACCACCGCTCGGAGTTCTTTGTAAAATTTGTTTCTTGCGAAATACCGTTTCTTTTGTTGCAATATATTAAGTTAATGCGGTTTGCTATAATAGTAGACGATAACGACCTAGGGGCGCGAATTGTTAAAAGAATGATAACAAAACTCTATAAACAACTAGCAATTGTAATATGTCTAAATACCGTTTCTGCTTTCTCTCCATTCTTCGAGCAAACTACCCTGGAACATATCTGACTCCCTCCATTTTACTGGAACGACAAAAAGTGGGTAACGGAACGTTTATAACGCCGTACTCTTAAAGGGTTCCCCCGTATAAACGTTCCGTTACCCACTTTTGAAACAATTGATTTTCGCGGCTTTTACATCGCAGTTTGGCACTTTTCATATGTTAAATCTCTCATTTTTGCCTTTTTGTGTCTAAAACACCTTTTTCTTACTCTAATCTCCTTTTAAACGACTTTTGCTAAACCGATGATTTTTTCCGATGTTTTCTCGTTTCCGATGCATCCTATGGCGAAACTTTACGATTTTTTCTCCTTTCCGATGCATCCTATTACGAGAAAATGTATTGTGATCTTTCCTATGTAAATGATCAACTATTCGGTTCAAACTCGTAAATTGCTTCCCTATTGTCTCCAAAATCTCGAAGCGGAACCCACGAATTGTCTTGTGGGTTGTTATACCCGACCCACTTTACAAGGAATTCGACCCCTTCCTCTCCATCTACCATGTGAGTTCGCTTGTCAATGATGTAGTCTACCTCGTAATATCCTTCCTGAGTTGTTGGAGGATTGACGGGCTGAGCGGGTAATGGAGTCGTTTGTGTTGGAACAAGCCGGCAAAGTGTATGCTGGAAAAAGTCCCTGGAGGGCGTTTTCCTTGAGAATCTATATGAATGCACTGTACTGGTTCTAGTGCTGCCTCTAGTACTGCCTCTAGTACTGCCCTCTGTACAGAACCGATGTTTTCACGCCGCCCACGCGCTACTTTTTGATATCTGTGCCACTGACATAAGCCACCTGCAGACAATTGTTGAAACCAAAAGCAGGCAGACATCGCCCAGGGCGGGGGAGCGTCTCGGGCGAGGTAATATCCGGTTCCAATCGCCGGGAGACAAGCCGACCTCTCGGTCAGATCTAAACAAACGAAAATTTCAAAGTGCGCGAATTTCAAAGTGCGCGAAGCGACTCCGACACACATTGCCTCTTAAGATCTCACGATACATCGCAATTGTACAATTCGCCAATAGTCCTGTGCATAGGTAACGTTACAGCAACACATGCCTTTGGTCTGTTATTTAACCAATTGTTTCAAGAAAATGACCCAGTCCAGTTTACTCCTCAAAGAAGTCCGAGAACGACTTTACCAACCCGCTGCAAAGTTTACACTGACCAAGAAAGAGTTTGATGAGCAGTGGCAAGTGGCGGATAACATGTGGACTAGACTCAACAAGAAAGCATCAGCCGGCACGAGAAGGTCCGTTAAAGTCACGACAATATACACCTGTCGAATGGCAGCGAAGCGACAGCCTCATTCTTCGGGACCCCGTGAAGATGATACTGGCTCAATCAAGAGACGAGTAACTTCGACTCACATTCCTATAGATTGTCCCGTTGGATTGCGCGTTGTGGAGGATACTCAGACCGCCATGGTTTCGGTCGACCTTCAGCCGCAGTATGGAACAAAGCACTTACACCATACATTGGAAGACGTCGATCGACGCAAAATATGCGCTGCTGCACAGGAGATCATCAATAGCGAGGCTTTCAAGCCCTACCAGTCCAAGGAAATCGCAGGCGTCTTACCTGTAATGGTTGCCAAGGAATTTGACCCACAATATTTCGCGACACTGGGTGTCGATCTTTTGACAGCTAAAACTGTCTGGAATGCCAAAAGAAGAGACCCTGAATTCAAAACAAACCCCGAATCGCAAATTCAGGATCCAGATGTAGTTGAGGCAGAACAAGAACTACAAAAGGCTGGATATGTCACCCAGCGCTTTCTTGTTGCCCCTACTGACGAAATTGGTGCCACTGAAGGATTAGCATTTGGCAGAAAAGAAGAATTGAAGGTACTGCAGGAATGTATTTATCTTGT